AAGAAGAATATCAGCTCGAATATAAGAGTAAAATCATACATCGGCAGTAGAAGCCCTCGTTATCTCGAAGATTACCTCGAGAAGACCTTAACCAGACCATCGCCGCCACCGCTAACGACCCATCGGCCATCGCGGCTCCAGACGGCGGAACACACGCCTTCACCACGCATCAACCGGTGACTGGTGATTTCTTGGGTGCAGCTGCGTTTCTCGAGGTTCCAGAACCGCAGACTGGCATCATGGCCGGCCGACACCAGTTCGCGTCCATCTGGAGATAGGGAAAGCGACGCAATCGCGGACGGGTGCGCCAGCATAGTATAAGTGCATTGACCTATTCCAGTTGTTAGTAGCCAGGCTTTGTTTCTCCACGACATATTACACGTACCACTATTAGCGTCGAAAAGACGGATGTACCGGTCTTCGTAGCCACTTATTATGACACCTTCCACACCACTCGAGCCAGTGGCGCCGTGAACCACCTCTTCTTCACCCGAGATACGGCTGGGATCAAGGCCAGCAGACCCGTCGAATCCAACCGTGGTTGCTACAACAGAGTTGACACCCGTGGAAGGAGTGCCATCGTACGTCTCCAGGCTCGCCATTCCCACAATTTCCTCGCCCGTCCTCGTATCATAGACAATGATCGATGCGTCCGAGAAGGACACCACAAAGTTCACCCCGGCAAGCGACAAGGGACTAATACAGGTGGGCGACGGGGAGTCCGTTCGTGTGATCTTGTGAATGAGGGTATAATGGAATGGCGTTGAAGTAGCCATGCTAGGTTGCGGTGAGGATGGGAAGTTTGAACCAGACGAGATCGAGTTTGCCCTCCGGCTTCCTCCAGCTCGTCTGTTCCCTGCTTGCGGCGAAGAGAGCTGGGGTGGAGCGCTGACTGCCCATATCAATATTTGACCGTCCGCAGCCCCCGAAGCCAACAAGATCCGATCAGGGCCGCCGTAATGACCACAAGAGTCGCCGAACACAGACCCAGTAGTTCCAGGAAGAACACAAAGACCCCATACTGCATCTGTATGACCATCAAGTGTGGCCTTAGGGTCAATCCTTCCTCGTTCCCAGACACGCACACTGGCGTCTTGGCCACCGGAGAATACCCAGCCGTCACCCAAAGCGCGGCCTCCATTAGAGAAATCTCGGGAAGGAGAGCATGCAGCCAACGCTGTGACAGCACCAACATGCCCTCTGTGTGTGAAATAACTAGTTATATCCAGATCATTGCTCGAATTGGCATTATGAGAACCAAAATTACCGTATGTTGCCGGAATGATCCATCGCTTGATCGTGCCGTCATCGCTACAAGTACAGATTTCTGGCTCCGAAGGACTACCACCACCGGTGAAAATCACAGAGCGGACGACATCCAGGTGTCCGCGCAGAGCAAACCTAACTTTGAAGTTAGTTTCCTGTTTCTGGGCTGTTCCTCCGATGCTGTCGCTCGATCCCTCGCTCTTACTCCTTGCTCCCGAGCTTTTCCGTCTATGGGAGAGCGATCCAGATCGTGGAGATTTCGGTCGAACAAAGTTGGCGTTAGGAAAGGCATCCACGTCTGGCCGATGAGGCGGCATCGGTTCAGTTGGGGGCTCTTTCTCAGATGGCTCGTCAAAGTTCCAACCATCTGAGTCCTCTTGCTGTTGCTGTTCTGCTTGTTGTGGCTGTGTTTCCTCTTTAGCCCCTCCTTGTGCACCATACACATCATATGCTTGCTTCTCAGCACCAGCGCGTTCATCCACAATTATATGTTCGGGAACCTGCTTTCTACTATCAACAGCAGTGGCTGGGGTCTGTTGCGGTTCCAAAGGTTTCCTTTCTAGGGCTTCTCTAGAACCGGGAGGCAGGCCAAACTGATTTGGCTGGCGAGATATCCCTGAACTCTCAGGGTACTGAGCCACAATGGGCTGATGGTTTTGAAGAGATACCTCCCGGGCCATCATATGATTTGCTTGCTGCTGTTGTTGCTGTTGCTTTTGACGTTGCTGCTGAATGTGGTATGCTTCCTCCAGGGCCTGCTGAGACAGCTGTTGGTTTCCGTAGATATGGTTTGGGAGCTCCGGATCGCTAAGGTCGGGAGGAGGATGCGATGCAGGGATAACGTGGTAAGTCACTTCTTGGGAGCATTTAGATAAATAAAGGCGCGATTTTTCCCGCTCGTTTTCTTGCCGGAAATCAGGCTGATTGTCGTTCAACTCGGCTTCGTTGAGTTCCATGGGCGGCTTAGGACGTTGAGCTAGGAACACAGTCAGTACATAGCGCGTCACCAGAAATTGTCATCATCATACATTTCAAGGCATTTATACTCTCTCGAGCGATATCCTTGGGATCCCTGGTGTCCTCAACCTTCTCATTGTTGCTGAGCTTCTTGACCTTTTCGCGCTCCTTCTTCAGCGCGGCCTCCAGTAGCCTGACGTGTTTACCCAGAGACTCGTGTAGACGCTTGCTTGTGCGCACGTCGCCTTCCAGCTTGCCTATACGAGACTTCATCTCTGCGCGCTCGATTTCCCATGCATTGCGGTCTCGCTCGTGTCGATGCCATTCTGTCTGCAGGAAGCGCATAACGCCTGCGATGCCACCAAAATGATTAGTTTCATTATCATGATGAGTTAGGGTTTCTAGGAAGCTCCAAAAAAAAAATGACACACCTTGTAATGTATACTCCGTCCCCTGAGGTTGCCCGCCGTTGGAGGACCCGTCCCCGGGTCCGCCATAGCCTCCAGCCCCGATCATGGCCGAGGGCGATTGCCAAGCCATGCGAAATCAACAATCAGGGCTATGGAGGCCGTTAATTATCAATCGAAAGTAGTTTCCAGGTCGGAGGGTTGAAATTTGAGGTGTGAATAACTCGGTGAAGTTGTGCCCACAGCGATAAACTTTCTTGGTGTAATGCTAACAAAAGTCGGGACGGGCGACAGCGGCAGGAAACAGCGTTCCCCGGGCCGTGTCTACACCGGTGGGAGAGAGAACAATGGATGAAATCGAAAGGGCGGAGAAATCCGTTCGACGGAATTCGAGTAGACGTCAAAAGAGGTCGAGCCGAGAGGTGGCCTTGGACTGGTGCGCGTTCTGCTGCGCTGCTGAGGTCGGGGAAATGCTGTGGTGTTCTCGTTGGCTCCTTAGACGCCCACGCGGCTTAACCGCCTTTAGCGCTTGGGGGTTGTTTGTTTTCCCAGCCTCATCAAGTGGTGGTCAGGGGTTGAGAAAAGGATGAGCTGGCCATAAACATCCCGAAGACAAATTTTTCCAGTTCAAATGCACGTTTAAGCCAGAGTACGTTCTTCAGGGGGGTGTGGACTGACAGGACATGATCTGAAGTACAGCTGGAACTGGACCTGACTTGTTCAGACCGCCAATCATCGACCCCAACTGACCCTTAGCACCGTTGCTTTTTGACCTGTTCAAAAAATCTTCCAATAAACTATAGCGAACATAACGTGTCCCTATTTTTAATTGCAACGTTATCAATGAAACAAACGTATCCACTCCTATGGTCTTCATGAATTCGTGACTCATTAGATGCTATGACTCTATACACTATACAGGACAATTGCCATCAGCTAGAACTCTAACTCTTCCACTTCCATCCCACAATCCACACACTTCTTGACTCCGATTCCAGTCTCGGGATTCTCAATAGACCGACCCCATTGGTGCACATGTCTCCCACCATTGCCCAGGTCATCACCGAAATTACCCCCGGTTGCTCCCTGACGGCTACGGCGATATGCATCGACTCGGGTACGCTTCTTCAGATCTTGTAGTTTTGACTTGAATTTGGCCTCTCGACGTCGCTTCTTCTCAGTCTCGCGTCGCTCAAACTCGGCATCTAGTGCTTCAGCAGAGCCCCACTTCTTCGCCGAAAAGGCATATTCCTCAACCTGATAGCGAAGGTAAAGCATCATGTTGTTCCACGTCGACTTGTGAGGGTTCGGTTTTTCAAGATGGGGCAAAAGCTCTTCGTCTTTGAGTTCAGCTGCAGGCATAACGTCAATATCCAGCACCTATCCACGCATAAAAGCCAGCGATGAACTCACGATCTGTCAAAAGATAATCCTCCTTTGCTTCCGTCTTTGTGAGAAGACTGTACTTTTCGGGGAACCTCTCCTTGCAGGCGTGGCATACGCAACACCGAAGATCCTGCTCCCACTTCCAATCAATCTCCAGACTCCCACATTCACGACATGCCTTCTGCTTGCTTTTGTCATCCAACACGCTGAGGGCCGGTTCGAAAGGACCGGTCCGATTTCGACGAAGGGAATCGAGTAATTGTTTTCTCTCCCATTCCTTCTGCGTCATATTCGCGGGTTTCTGTTCCTCCTTTCCATCCTTGACATGGAGCGCCTTATTAAAGGGATCATCCTCCTCCGTCAAAAACCCTCCCTTCGTATCCGTCATCTTACTGAAGTCATATTCAACGTATTTCGTGAAGTTCCGCGCAGGCTTAATCGAATCAAGCGGACGGGCCGCTGAAGTCGCATCTCGAACCGTAGCAGGCGTCTCAGCCGTCATGGAAGAATAAGACCGTTTCACTCCTCCTTTCGTAGATTGCGCGGCACCGCTAACATCAGCCGATGTCCGAGCCTCCGCCTCCCGTTGCTCCCGTATCGCTTTTGCTTTCATGCGGTTTATTTCCTATACATTGGCCGATGTCAGCCAAATATCGATAGGTCGCGTCGGGGGCGCATACAATCTTCCGCAGCTGCTCCGGCGTAAGTGGTGCCCGCGGGAGCTCACCGGGCTTTGAACTACCTGTTTGCGGCGGCGGAGTCGAACGGTCTGCCATCTTGAACAACGAAGTTTCCTAGAGCTCTTACCGCGCCTCGAGGATGCCAGTAATGGTGATTGAGAAGGTGAGTCTTTCAAGGGCGTGTTATCGATAGCTCGTATCGCCACTTCACGTGATGATAAGAAAATGAACGAAGCGTTGATTGGTGGGATATAGTTTGCCGTCGGGTTGAAGAGAGAAGAGTAAGGGATTATCCATGGTGGAACGATAGCAGGTGCATTGATTGTATGACAGCAGATGTTAAGTGCGCGGAAGTGCGCAGTGGCTTATGCAATCTGTATAGATATCGTCACCACTTCGCAACGACTCGGTTGCCGTTTATAACTGTCTGTCGAGATCCAAACATGCCGATATATATTTTGGAATGAGTGAACATGTCGGAAACGATCAAGTACAGCTACTATTGCAAAGGTCAAGAGATATAGCCAACTACCTGAGTAGCATCAAGTCATTAACTCGTTCAAGACTTGCAGATACTACACTTTTGAATGTCTCCAATATTGCATACTCCTACGAATGAAAGCCCCCTCTACATGTGTTACGAGCTCGTTGAAGCAATAAGAACCTCCGATCACAGAGGCACAAATAAACAAGGGGTATCAAGATTAATGCGCTATTCAAAATCGCTATATATCCTGTTCAATGCTTAATTCGTCAACGAACGAAGTCATATTCTTCACATACCTCATCGTCATCCCGCCCTTGGCCGTATAAAACTTCGCACACCCCTCCCACAGGAACATCCAAGACGGCATCAGTGCCCTCGCTCCAGATTTCCCTCCAGTTGACTTTCCTATTCTGCGGGCCCATAATTTGGTATGAAGTTGCACCCGGTTTCATCTTGGCCGCACCACCAGGTCGTCTCCTACCCTTACCATCTATTACAGCAACATTCGCCACTTCATCCACGATGTTCTCAACGCTGTTCATTGGCAGCGTCATGTAACCGGTGTTATAAGAGGCAAGCGCAATGTAGATGTAGACGATGGTCATGACGAGCCACGCAGGGATGGCTAGTGACCACCATCGAGTCGGGTAGTAGGTTATTCCAAGCTGGTGTAAGAAGGGTTTTGGAAGATAGGACCAGAGGATGTATAGTACTGTGAGAAAGGTGTCAGAACTGTCCACATGAACTCCGGGTACAGTGGCCACTGTTTGCACTTACAAAATGCCAACGAAGAGGCGAGATATAGAACGAAGCCGTAATACTCATACGTGGGAACCTTCGGACTTGCTCGAGGAACAGTTGTCGCGCGACGTGCTGACTTCGCAACCGCTGCTTCTGTATCGTTCGGCGTTTCGACATCAGAACTGTCAGGGGTAGTTGGTCGGGAAGTAGTTGTCGAGAAAGGAGGTCGCAGAAGAGAGGTCAGAGAAGGAGAGGGCGGCAGAGGCGTCGGGGGTCTATTGTAAAAAGGCGGAGCGAATGCATTGGGACCGTGAAGGGAACTTGAAGAATGGCGAAATGGATGTATCTCGATGCCATCGTCTTCGGGTGATTGCCCGTCCGATTCGTCCGTGGACGCATCAGAGAACAATTGGTCGTCCAATGAGTACTGTGATTGAAAGTTCGCATCGTAATCTCCCTCCTCAACATCCGGGGACATTATGTCTGGATCATCTTCCGTAAAGTTGGCATCTGGCGCATCTTGAGAAGTGATTGCTAGATCATCTGCCGAGAGAGGTGGGAACGGTTGATTCGATTCGAATGGAGGTAGCGCAGAGTGGGAGCTAGAATCGTTAGTTATTCTGTCTGTGCTCATATGTTGCTCTTTGCTAGTAAAAGGCATCTCTTCGGACAAGGTTGCGTCAAACAGAGCATGAACAGCAGAAAGTCGCTGTCGCTGTCGGTCATTGTATACTGCCATTACTCACCGCCTATTATTCCTCGGGCGTTTTAAGGATTTAGGTACGGTGTAGATCTAGATGTAGGCTGCCAAGCATCATAGGGATGCTGGTGAATTACCACTCCATACAAGAGCCAAAAGAAATGAAGGGGGTACGAGTACATCTGCATATGGACTTTTACGCTAAAACAAGTTGGTCTTGCCGTCCTCAAGCAAGTTTCCACAAAGCTTTGACCACGCAGTACAGGAGTATATAAATTTGTTATGACAAGCCGCTCAAGGCCAATGTCAGGTTGTCAAGATCTTCAGAGCAATTGTCAGACGAACAAGCACCCGAGAAGAATGTAATACGGGCGGCCGATAGCATCTAGATCACAAGCGAAGGTTAACATGCCTTTCTCGTCGTAGCGTATGCTAGGGATTCCCCAAGTCGCGAAGTCAGTTGACGCGAAAAATGCCCAACGTTCGTTTCAGGGATGCATGAACCCATCAAAGACTTCAAATTGAGCGACTCGAGGCACCACAATTCTTGAGCTCTGTGGTGACTATGTTTATGCAAGGATCAGGCTCCATGACGAAGATGAATACCTGGTATCGGATGTATCCTAGCAAAACTATATGAACTTTATCGGGCTGATCTGTCTGATATAGACGGACTAGTTCGGAAGCATTGATTCGGATTTGTCTTGCTTCTCAACTCCGTTCGTCTCCCTTGGGCCTTACCGCAAAATGCAAGCCAACCCTATTTGAGTCTACTTCACAAATCATATTTCTCGAACGGAATGGGCACGAACGGAATGATGATGCCTAGGAATGTGACCTGCTTCGACTGCACCTGGGCGAGGCCACCATTGACGAACATTCGAGATGAGGTACTCCATCCTTAGGAATGCCATGCACTGTCTTCCTGTATGGTTGCCTCCCAACCCTACAGACTCGGACTCCGGAGTAGTCAATCATACTACTATATGATGTTGAGTGGGGATGGTATGTAACGATACATGCTGCATATCAGGCCGACAGTCTCCTCCGTCAGCGGCAAAGGGAGATCAGTCAAGGTCTTCCGGTCTCACTTTGCTTTTTTTTTTTTTTTTTTTATTTTTTATTCAAAATCCAGAGGCTTTGTCCCCGCCTTTCGGGAATGACTCGGAAGCTCAAGATTTGATCCAGCGTGTCTCAGATGTTAATTTAATACTAATCGACCGGAATATGTTTCCAGCCTGGCCAGGTTCTGAGCACGATGTCCTGTTTTTCACTTTCATCCATGCAAGATCAATCCTGCGTCGTCCACCGTTTACCATCTAAGCGAACGACCACGAGTCAGAGGATTTGTATTTTGCTCATTGTTTGGTTACCAAAAAAGGTACTTATCCCTTGCGTCCGTGTCCTCCAACGGTCCACGTCTGGATGTGTTGACACCAGTGGTACTGAACTGATTGGATCGGATCAGTTGTCGTTCGACCCATGGAACGGATCTTCTTTTCGTTTACATGCCTTTTTAGTGCTCGAGCCCACTTGGTACATGTCACCGCCAATGATATGCGCCAGGCACAGATAACCTAAAGAATTGTCGCGATGGATAGAGATTACGCTATTCCAACTCGGCTGCGTTCCCTTCTTTACCCCTGTGGCGATTTGCATCTGATTAGCGCATACAACCCACAGTTAGCGACGTGGAAAACTCTTGTGGCCGGTCAAAAGAAATTTCATGACGACGCAAGGTGAAAACCAGAGACTCATGTCGATGCCTGACAATACATCCGAACAATGCGAATTGCTGTGGCAGGGAATTGTAGTAGCTTCGCTGAAGCCCAGTGGCAGACATTCCTTACTTCGCGGTACTTTTAGCAGAGTTTTGAGGATCGGCGATCACGACAATGCCCTATGGCGATTGGATGAACCATCGTCAAGATTATGGGAAACTATTGACTACTAACTCACGACGGTCTCTCTGGGTCCGTGGTCCCAGTCGCCAACCCCTAATGCATGTTCCACCGAAATTTAAAATCTTTCCAGTTTAGTCTGGCCTAGTTCTTCACCACGCGGAGCGAGCTGCAGCCCACACGAACATGTCACTGTGGGTTTGTTGCCCTCTCGTTGTTTGTGACCCACCAATCAGAACGGTTATGACTGGAGATAATCGACATTTTTACTCTTTCACACACATTCCCATTGATGTTTGGGTTGGGCCGGTCCGCCAATAGCACTCCTGTCAATCTGCAGGTCTACATACTTTAGCCTCGGGTGCCTTCCCCCCCCCAATTTTGACTGACAGTTTCGACAAGCTGAGTTGCATATTTTAGTCATGAGGGTGGGCCGGTCCAGCCGAGAATATATGTTCCTGAACCGACGCCTGTGCAATGTTGTTGTCGGATCTGAACCCCAAGTCTCGACCAAGAATTGATCTAAGCTGGCCATGAGCTAGCTTTCTGACAGCCATTATGGTTGAAGCGACACTATTCGACTTGCTTGTCAAGCGGTCAGACCTTCTTGTACGCTGAGCACAAAGAGCAAACCTGTAGCCCTTGTGAGATACGAATGAGGCTAATCCTGCTACTGACAGAATCCTGATAATGACCCTAATATAGGGTCTTCCCGGGGTAATGCCTCCTCAACAACTTCTGAGGCTATGGAAAATATGGGTGTCAAAGATTCAACGTCCCTTTCCGCACTTGTTACCACATTAGTTCCTGCCTTGATTATCGCAGTCTTTTGGTTCGGTCTGTTCCTAATCTGTCGACGAACTCAACTTCGGTGGTACGCGCCTAGGACACATCTACCAAATTGGCACAAGCAGTAAGTTAAGTTAATACCACAGTTCCTCTGCATTCAGGCTAACAGATTTCCAAGTGAACGGAGTCCTGAGCTGCCCTCAGGTTTCATTAATTGGTTTGGGCACTTTCTCAAGATCTCTGATGCACACGTCCTTCATTCCTCTTCTATGGACGGTTATCTTTTTCTTCGATTCCTAAGAGTGCTGTGTGCTACATGCTTCATGGGATGCTTGATTACATGGCCCATCCTGCTTCCTGTCCATGCAACTGGTGGTGCGGGTAACACTCAGCTCGATGCATTGAGTTTTAGCAACGTGAAAAACCCGAAGCGCTATTATGCTCATGTCGCGATGGCGATCGTCTTTTTCAGTAAGTGAACGCTGATGTTATGAGAGTGAGAGTCACTAACCACCTCAACAGCGTTCGTATTCTACGTGGTAACGCGGGAGAGTATTTTCTATGCCAACCTCCGTCAAGCATACCTCAACTCCTCCGCATATGTAAATCGGATCTCCTCGAGGACAGTTTTATTCATGTCAGTTCCTGATGAATACAAGAACGAGAAAAAGCTGCGCCAAGTGTTTGGTGACTCCATTCACCGGATATGGATCACTACCGACTGCAAAAAGTTGGACAAGTTGGTCCGTAAAAGGGACAAGTTGGCCTTCCGGTTGGAGAGCGCAGAGACAAGAATCATACGATCGGCTAATTCGGCACGCCTGAAAACCTTGAGACAGGGTCGCATCCCATCTGACTTCTCTGTTGACAGTGAAGCAGGCACTTCGCCGATGTTTCATGGTATCCGGCGACCAACTCATCGCCTTACATGGTTTGGACAAAAAGTCGATACGATCAAGTGGCTGCGGGGGCAGCTTGTGGAAATTTCGCAGGAGGTTAATCAGCTCCAACAAAAGTATAAGGATGGGGAGATGAAAACTCTTTCTGCAGTCTTCATCGAATTCGACACCCAGTCCGCCGCCCAGATCGCCTTGCAGACTTTGTCTCATCACCAACCACTCCACATGACTCCTCGCTTCATCGGTATTTCCCCCAGAGAGGTTGTCTGGTCTGCATTAAATCTCAGCTGGTGGCAGCGCATTGTGCGAAAGTTCGCGGTTAAGGGTGGTATTGCTGCGCTTGTCATTTTCTGGTCGATCCCATCTGCCCTCGTGGGTACTATTTCAAACATTACATACCTGTCCGACATGGTTCCGTTCCTGCATTGGATCGACTTACTTCCAGAGACAATAAAGGGTGTAATTGCAGGACTGTTACCATCAGCGGCACTTGTTATGTTGATGTCCTTGGTACCAATCATCTGTCGAAGTATGTCCCTGATAATGTATATCACCTTCAGGTACTCAAGCTCTAACCTTTGCCCCATATAGTTTGTGCCCGACGTTCCGGTGTGCCATCCTCTTCTCGCGTGGAACTATTCACACAGAGTGCCCATTTTTGCTTCCAGGTCGTCCAGGTCTTCCTGGTCACGACGTTGACTTCAGCAGCGTCCGCTGCAACCACCCAAATCATCAAAGACCCTCTGTCCGCCAAGGATCTCCTTGCTGAGAACCTCCCCAAGGCAACCAATTTCTATATTTCTTACTTCCTGCTCCAAGGATTGACCATGAGTTCTATGGCTGTGGTCCAGGTTGCTGGAGCCTTATTCTTCAAATTCATCACTACTTTTTTCGATCGCTCTCCCCGACGTCTGTATGAAAGATGGTCCGCCCTCAGCGGTATCAGCTGGGGCAATATCTTCCCAGTGTTCACCAACATGGGCGTTATTGGTTCGTTCCAACCACTGCCGCAATTCCCTCATTAAGTAAAGCGACGCAAGACTAACAACCCCTGCAGCCCTGACCTACTCCTGCATCGCACCTCTCATTCTCGGCTTCGCCTTTGTCGGCCTCTACCTCGTCTACCAAGCCTACCGCTACAACTTCCTCTTCGTCTACGACCCCCGTATCGACACCAAGGGCCTCGTCTACCCCCGAGCCCTCCAACACCTCCTCACAGGCATCTACCTCGCAGACGTCTGCATGATCGGCCTCTTCGCCATCAAAGGCGCAGTCGGCCCCCTAATCATAATGGTCCTCTTCGGTATCCTCTTCATCCTGGCCCACATGTCCCTCAACGAAGCTCTCGCCCCCTTCAACAACTTCCTCCCCCGCACTCTCGACACCGAAGAAGAAGCCCAGCAATGCAAAGAAGAAGAAGTCCACTTCCTCAGCCCGCGCAGCAAATGGGAAGCCGCCTGGAAATGGTTCCACCCGAACCTCTACCGCGACTACGCCGCTCTCCGTCGGAAGGTCCGTCGCAACGACGTCGAGATCAAGTACTCCGAAGAAGAACGCTACAACGCTTACTACGAGCCATGTATTACCTCGCCTACGCCCACGATCTGGATCCCGAGGGATAAGTGGGGATTCAGTCAGCAGGAGGTGTTGGCGACGGACCCGATCATCCCGATTACGGATGAGGGTGCCCATTTGGATGAGAAGAATAAAATCGTTTGGGATAAATATGATCCTAACTTACCGCTGTCGGAGTTGAAGATTTTGTACTAAACGGTGGTCTTCTTTTGGAGTCTTGTATATAGCGTGTTTTTTATTTGGGCGTTGGTTCAGGTGGGTAATGATAGAACGACTATTAATGGTTGGTGGACGGAAATTGGGTTATGTGATTAAGGTTAATTTAATGAATAATATATTAACCAATACTGATTGCAACTTTCTATAGTACATTTGTCCCTTGTTTAGGTTTCATAGTATGTTTTCTAACTAGCATAAAGCCCCAAGTCACTATCTGACTGGCCCATTAGTCTAACTAACTGACCCAAAGAACTAACGGTTATAGAGCCCTACATACTTTGCTCAACCTACGTCAATAGAGCGTTTCCGAAATCGTTACTATTGTTCAAATCAACGTAAAGGTCAATTTAAATAAAATCAAAGATTAATAATATAACACAAAGAATGAAATTGAAATCGAATCCTAGGTTATGAGAAGAGAAAAGCAGCAATATCCATACGAATAATAGAAAATCTCCTCCACTTCTCAAACAGTCAAAGTAAAGTTGACCGTGTTAGTCGTTGTGTCAACACGCGGAAAGAACTCGAACGTGAAAACTGCATCCTGGCCCGCGGCAACCACAGCCTCAACCGCAGCCTGGGTGAGAATCACGTTCTTGTCATCCCAGTTCCATTGGCTGCTGTATGTCTGTAGATTGGCGAACAAGAACGTTAACAATCTCTTAGAATATATCACGAGTGGGCAAAGTGAAGGGGAACTTACTGTTCTGGCTTCGGCAAAAGGACCGAACCATTGGGTGAAGTCGTCGACTAGGTAGGTGCCATTTTTGAGGAGAGCCTTCACAGTGGCGAGTTTAGGAAGTCCTTTCCATGTGATAGGGATGGAGAGGTCGGACCCGGAGACGGATGAGGCGGCGGCAGAGGTCTTTGAGAGTGTTGGGGTGTCCCACTGGACGAGTTGGATGACAGGGGAGGCTCCTGATGAGAACTTCAGGGTGAAGTTGGGGAGGAGGCCTGGCTCGGAGGTTTCCGAATAATAGGTTGAGAGGAACGAGGCAGGGAATGTGATGTTGGAACCGGAGACGGTATAATCTGTGTCTGCCTTTAGGGTGGTGCCCTTCGAGTCTTTGATGGAAACGAGAGTGTTGTCGTTGAACAGAAAGGGGAGAGTCTGATCAGTGACTTCTGTTCCGACTTTGTGGAAGATGTATGCTGAAGACCATTGGCTTGGTGCGGAGGTGTCTACGGTGCTGTCGGGCAGACTGTTGGTCTCGTTCCCGTTGGTGAGGATCTCGATTGACACGGGGTCGCGCCAGATGCCTGATGAGCGGTCCAGGTGGTCAAGTCCGTTATCCCAGAGAATAGGGCTCATGTTGTATTTCTTCGTGGTGCGAATGAGGTAGTCGTGATACTTCCAGCGTGCTGCAGGTTCGGTGTTGGTCGGAGAAGCATCGAACTCTCCGAGGACGATGGGAATATCGGTGAAGTTACCTCGAAGAAGGCCGAGGGTGCTGTCGAGCTCACTCTTATCTGAGTCTGAGCCCCAAATAGTCTTGCCCCTAGGAGAGTTAAGTATGAAGATCATATCAATAGAGGGTGAAGTGGTATTTACCATGCGCTGAAGATAAAGTCGTCTGTATGAGAACGTTAGCACTAGATTGCGAGGAAGATTTAGCCTACTTACAAGGAGCATAGAAATGGAATTGAAGAGCCCATGGGTTTGTGATATTGGCAGGGGCTTTGAACCACTGGGAAGTTTTCACACTGTCCATCCCTCCACCTACCAGGTTGACTACGCGCTCTGTATTGAAGCCTCCAGCACGATTGATTGCGTTGAGAAAGATCTCATTAAATCTATTGATTTTGGCACCGTCTTCGGCAGTATTGCATGGCGGTTCATTGATGGTTTCGAAGGCAACCATGCTTGACTTGCAAGCCAACTTAGTACCAATCTGATACCAAAGTTTCGCGAATTTCTGCTCAATTTCGGTAATGTTTGCATCGGTTTTGGTGACATCCGCCCATTCCCAAGAGTCTGAATTATTAGCCAGTGGCTAAGTCATGATTATAGGCGTACTTGGGTGGTTTACCGTGGTGGACATTGACAATAGTGTACAGACCACGAGACGTGATCATGTCTATAACATCAGAAACTCTCTGCAGCCATTTTGGATCAACGGTCCAGTCAGGAGATTCACTAGTGAAGTGATGTGTCCAAGTAACTAGTGGTGTTATCAGCATATATGTGAAGGGTCTCTCAAAGGAGAAAGGGCTACGCATCCACGCACCTGGAAGGCGAACACTTTTAAATCCAGCTGACTTGACATAATCAAAGGTTGATTCTTGAACAAGAGGATTGTTCCAAGAATCTTCATTCGGAGTAGCATCAAGACTGTTTCCCAAATTCCATCCTGGATTGATTTTCGCCACGAAATCAGAGGCCGAGATGGCGTCAAAGGACCCTGTACAATTGGCACCGAGGGCCCAGGCACCTCGAAGAAAGGCCGTGAGAGCTAAAAGCCGTAATGGTTGCATTATGGCAAGAGCCCAGAGGTGACCCAAAGCCTGTGAAATCACTTTGGAAGCCGGTGCGGTCAGATCATGGAGGGAAGAATTGATTGTTTATATACTAAAGTTTGAAACGCCGAAGAAAAGCAGAACCTGACCAACAGGTGTTGGTGAACATGACACCAGGCCCCATGCATTAGGGCATCTGGAATTGATTAACAGTGATTCTTGACCGATTAGCTGATTCGAGCTCCCCCTCAAAGGATGAAACCTAGAAGTCTCTTGCTATAGATGCATGTATTTCGGCAAATGTGATAGGATTGCATAGGACGATCGCCAGACAAATGCCCTCAAAGATAGCTAGTTAACTACTAGCACACCATCGTAATAAAGTAATGCAATTCAATATGGTAGGAATAAAGCCATTAATGTTCTCATTATCCGTTTCTCCGACGGCTTAACAGTCCGGGTAATAAGCTATACTACTCTATACGCTCTGCTGTGAGACCTTGGAATTCCCCACGGAATAAACGCCGGGCGAATAATTTCCGATACCTGACCATTCATAGACGCGGACGATGAAATCGGAAACTAGGGTCTTAGAGTATTAATGAAACATGAAGAAATCCAAGAAAAGGTGTCAGTGTATCTTCCTCCAATTAGGTGGCCCATGGCGACTTGTGTTGGTGGGCCCACGGCGACCTTTTATTAAACAAACGTGCCCGGAACTCGTCTCAGATATCGGAGGTGGATGCGTCGGTGCCGAGACGCTACAATGCAGGCGCAAGGGTTTCCTGCAATGCCAGAAGTGTGGGAATAAGGGAACTCTGGCGGCATTCGAACTTTTGCCGATATAGAGCCACTATGAGGGACTTCAATGGGGAGACGAGAGTTTGGCTGAACCAGTCCAGCACACGATGTTATAACTTATGTCACATACTGGATCAACAAAAGATGGGAGAAATTTCTCTCCGTCGCAGATGACCTAGATTCCGGCATACTATGAAAAACAGCCTAAATGCATAGACACTATTATCGCTATATAAGCCCTCCTGACAATTGTAGTAGGGATCTACAACAAAAGACACATCCATATACGATTAGCCGGTACACCCGCTCCATCAAAAAGGAAAAGCGCCCTGTTACCCTAACACGACTAGGCGAATAATATCTCGCCTTCTTGAACAATGTAGAAAAAGATACGGCCGCCCTTCCCAATTCGTGTCTATATAAAGTACATAAGTTCATACGCCAGTACTGTTTCGTTTCGTCATCAAACATATCGTCAAACTAGCCCCGGTAGCGGTAGATTTCCTGCTGAGTTCACATGACAATACAATCCTTATTTCGGTCTTTAGGGCGATCCGATGGTCCGATTGCTATAGGCACACCTGGCGGTCGTCTTCCGAACTGGGCTCTTTGGTATGGAGCTACATAAGGCGCAGCTCTATTATTGGAACTTCGCGGAGGTGACTGATAGGCTGCATTATTGGCCACCTGTTCATAAGAAGGTGGCGGAACATCATCGGCGTCCCGAGACGGCGAGTGCCGCTCGGGTTGTTGCGCAGGACGATGCCCTGTAGAGCGGTGGCGAGTAGGGGGTGGCCCCTCAGAGGGTCTTTGAGGGTAGTATGGAACGGAAGCTCGCTGATTACGGTCACGGGGAGTCCTACCACTGGCTTGTTGCTCTTCTTCCTGTAGTTGAAGGGAGAGGGCATAAGCATAATCTGCATCAGCCTGCTCCTGTGGAGATAAAGCTCTGCCCTGCTGTTCTTGTGAGACTGCCGAGGGGGCTCCAGAATGCCCAGTATTGCTGGACGTTCTTGGACCGGATGGATCGGAGGTCCCAGTTGAGGTATGACTGACAGGGCGGAAATCACCCGCAAAGAAGCCGGATTGAGATCCATTGACATCAATGAGAGACTCCCATACGATTTCCGCCCGATGGGAGTATCCAGCGTCAGTAACTAGTGTGAAAAGCTGATGGTTTTGTGGGTGTTTATAGAGGGTAGAGAAGTGGTCATTACGAAATAGAATCGATAGTGACCCTGGTGGCAGCTTTTCTGTCAAGTGTTGAATTCCGAATGTGCTGAGCTGGGTGGCATTCTCGATCTCCGTAAAATGCTGAATGACTTGAATATCGTTCATGCTTTGCTCTTCCTCTGGGGTGAGTGACCCGCCTCGAAATACACGATCCTCAAATTCTTGTTTGCGGAAGGGAAGAAGCTGGATGTCTTCATAAAACTGAGCCACCCGAGTCAACGCCCCATCGGCCTCTGTAGACGGTTCAGCGACCCAACCGTGGAGCAGCGGGACGCCGAAAGTGCCATAGAACTTCATATCACTAGTTTCTAGGAACGTGCCTACCGAATCGCTAGATTCCTACTTCGTTGTCAGTACGGGAAATCATCCTAAGTGCAACAGAAACCCCTACCAGTGTGAGTCGTGGATTGACATTCATGCCCGTGTGGAGCATAGTCAAAAATCTACTCAGGGCTTCAATGTCTGGAAGCTCGTCATCCGGCCCCAAGCATGTCGTTAATTCGTCGAACAAAGCTTCGATCAACAGACCAAGAGATATCTGTTCTCGTGTTTGTAGTGCTCTGACTATAGGGGGCTGGGAATCGGGGCTTGACCGCAGCACGAGAGCATTAACCAGCGCTAGCAATGGGCACGGTCCGTTTTTATTTTGAGCGAGAATCGGGCAGTCGCGCAGCTTTCCTGTGGCGTCAGTCCAATTGACATGCCTGATCGAATAAGTTTCAGATCTCTGTTCGGAGACTGGGGTATCAGAAGTCGGTTGACTAGGCTGTGGAATAATTGAGCGGTCAGGAAGAGGTGGTGCAGCACCTTGCTGACTGTTCTCTGATGGTATTGGGTGTGGTTGGCTCCCGTTCATGTCGGAATACACGGAGGATGCTGCCGTACGCTGGTTCGTTTGTATGTGTGCATCCGATGCCTCATTGAGGTCAATGAGAACATGTGAAGACCCAGTGTTTGCAGTAGAAACTGTAGCAGGTGTATTTATTTCATTCCATGGTGATAGGTTTGCTTGATTCCCTTGCTGATACGGTTGTGGAGGATATGTATTTGGAGTATCGTAGGGAGTAGTCTGAGGCGGTTGGAAAGGAGACTGGGCGTTCGCAGCCCTAGCTGCTGGTTGAGGGGGGTATGACGGATCTTGCGCAGGGTACTGGTTTTCGTGCAGGATCGGCGGGGGCACTGCAGATCGTTCTCCAGCCCATGGAGACTCCGATGGCGAGTCAAAAAGCGATAAGCGCGCTGTCATTGGAATATAACCTTCATCTGTCGTGCGTTAGCGTTCGCTTGCGGAAATTGTACTTTAGATGAATAAAGAGATCAATCGGACCTTGTCCCAAACGTGCATTTGCACTATCCTGTGATGCAGAAGTTGCTTCTGAGAAGGGGCGAGGGCTTCTGTCGTCCCATGGATTCTGTTCAGGTTGTCGTGGCTTCAAGAACGGATTGTTGGACTGCAGCGGAGCTGGGGAGTTTCCTACGTGTTCCCAGTCGGGAGCTTCGTTGACATCTCCGTTTTGCTGCCATTCGTTTGCGGCCATCCTCCGTTGGGTGCTAGCAACAAGAATAGACGGTACACGGTCTCCCCTTCTATTCTCCGCACTCTCGGCTGGTGGAGCATTATCAGCGACCGATTGCCCCGAACCGTTATATCCCTGATGGTTCTGGCCGGGTCGCTCCACCAGTTCATCCGCCCATGGGTTCATGTTTTCGCTCGGTGAGGATCGAACTGGAGACCTCTGAGCTTGCTCCAAGGGCATTAAATCAAATGCAGGGGACGTGTTAAGATCGGGAGAAAATACTGATTCTTGAGAGGGAAGCCGATGGGGTTGTGGAGAGCTTTGAGCTCGTCTCGGGCGCGTCAAGCGTTTCGGAGATGAAGACGACACGGATTTGGAGGTAGGGGAGATCTGTGAGATCGCGGAGCGAGGTTCAGAACGAGCATTACCCTTGTTGAGACTATACAGGTGTGGCGGAGCCCGTTTGCGCAAGACCATGAAGGCAGACGTATATTTAACTCAAGGCAGCGCCTTTAGATGAATGCAAGGTGAGCACGCTAAGAGCAACCAATCAAAGGTGTATGACAAAGGGTACGAGTCAGTGAATCTCGTTTCCCTCATGCGCGAATGATCGATCGGACAGTGAGACGTGGCTCAAAGCTATTTCATGAGCATACGTAACGGTGGCTCAAGATTAAGGCTGGGGGCCAATAAACACTTTTGCTTTGGAAGATGTCCGTCAGACAACAAATGCCATGGCTTTGTCCCATATAGCCTCTTCGAAGGGTTCCTAACAAGATCCGAGGAGGAGATGCAATTCACAATAGATAGATGTTGATAACAGGCACCCAGATTTCCGGATACACTAGTAGTCGTCAACTGAATTATGGGTCATTGAGTGGATAAGAAGGCGAATTTCCGGTGGTCAGTCTTTGGGTCGGAACGTTCGTCCGTACTTACACTAATTACCGATCAGCAATCCTTCTCACTGCTTTAAATCAAGGAATCCCTTGTTTTCAACTGTATTGGTATCGTCAACCCCACATTACGTATTAGCTCAGCCACAACTACTAACTACCACATGATCCACCCGCCACTTTAGCCACTGGTAGATCCTACGATGCCATTCTTCTCTTTAATAATTGGACACAGAGAGCATCGTGAAATTTTTGATGTTTATTCTGATCGCCACACTGTGTTTGTTATACTGGAGGATGAGTGATTGAACCAAGACACAAAATTGAAAATGTTAGCCGTCGCCGGGGCTCAAATAAAGAAATCTAAAACATATTACCCTTTCCGGGTTATTGAAAGATACACCGTGGACGCAGAAAGGGCATTGCCTAGAGTTACAGCCTAGATAAAGGCTGAGCAGTACTCGAAGCTTCCGGTGGTGTCTGCCGTCATAACCGTTTTGTATCAGATCTTTTTGCTTTGACGCAGATTACCTAGCAGATAAGCTGCCGCTGCAATTGCACATGCTCCCAGCAGGCATGTTATCCCACCAAAGAGCTGCAGCCCGGAGAAGTTGGTGTCCCCTTGACAGTTTGATATGGTACCATGATAGGTAACTCCATGAGACAGCCAATATGCGGTTAGTCTAAGCTTCATATATATACGAGAGGAGGAACTTGACCTAATGCCAAGTATCATTTGGGAAGCTACCAAATCGCACAGGGCATCAATAACAAGACAAAGGAACCGCTGACAAATCCATAAACCAAAGCAAAGACGATGATGCCAGCATGCGACGGGTGGTAATTGAATGGGAGCCAGAGAGCGAGAGTTGAAGCTCCTGTACCGAGGCCATAGTGAGCACATTGAATTGGCTGATGCGATCTGCAAAGGAGGGGGGAGTATACGACCCAGAACGGAAGTGGCACTTCAATGCCAGTAAGGGTGAAGACTAAAAAATATGGTACATACTTGATAAGTGATATCAAGTACAGGGCGAGTGTTGGAGAAAAGCCGGCGTTGATACATAGCAATACTCGAGATATAATTGAATGGTGCGCTGATGGACCCGACAGCCATAAACACAACCTTGTATCTGCAGGCTCGTTGAATTATTCAAATGACAAATCAATTCGTTGACGATATCAGTGTGAGTTATTTCCAGAGAATCCATCGTTATCTCCCTATGATCCCGCGCAACGCTTCCATGACTATCTCATCCATGTCGGCACATCCCCTCCAGCAAGCTTCTCAGTTCTTCTGCTCAGTATCTGCCTGGTGACGTACCATCCAGAGATACTGCCCCATAACCCGCAACGTATTAGCCACGGGTCCTTCTACATTACTGTCATGTTACCCTTCACTCAGGTACAGGCGGCCTTTCCTCCTGCCGTTCATCTCATTCAGGCCGGAGTTTTTTTGGTGCTATATGAGTATGCACGTGGGAAACCAGATGATGCGTTCCTATCTATCAGTGGCTGTGCGCGAATGGGGTATGCGGCGCGTCTCTACCAAGAGCGGCCGACATATTTGCATCATTACACGGAGGAAGAAGAAATGGTCAATACATAGTCAGGGATCATCGTTTTGGAACGGTATTAATCCCTGATTTTACAACGTCTTCCTTGCTAACCAGGTAAAGCTTGTTCTTTTGCAAGCTATCGGCAGGAGATCAGCCTTTTACGACTGATATCTTCGGTCGCTTCCAATTCACAACATCTGAGGACATTGATTAAGATGACAATATGTCGCGCTTCCAAGCAGCTGTAGAATCGATTGAGATGAAAGGCCTCGGGTACTCTGCCCAAGCAGCGTGGCTCTTGGACCAAGTTTTGAAGGCTACCAAAGACCCGAATGCGAGTACTCAATTAAACCAACTCGATGAGCTTGGTGCTTTATTGCAAGCCTTGCTGGGGTCTCTGTTGGAACAATGTCAGGATGTTTGGGGCGTGCTTTGTGGGGCCACTGCAGTTGCTATTAGGTGAGCACGCTCTTCGTCTTCTATGTTGATAGATACTTCATTTTTAGGGCCCTCTTCACACTGCACTGGAACCTTTCGAGTCAACCTGCTCAGTCCTTTTCTTCAGAATTGGAAGAATGGAGGCGAAAGGCTTATGATACATTAGACACAGTCTCTACTATGGTGATTGACATTAACAATACACATGAGAATATAGCCCCCACACCTGATTGATCTGTTGCCCCCGAGCTGTGTCTATAAGATTCGGGCACCATTGAGACATATACATGATAATGCGAGTTGGAAGAATAAAAGCTGGCTGTGGGAGACGCATAAGCAACTAAATGCTTCGTTGGATTAGTTCAGTCGCTGATGGGGCTTTGAAACGGCCGCCATAAAGTCGGCGACGTATTAAATACGACCAGGCTCGTTACAAAGCGTTTACTTGTACTGCAGAGACTGAGCAGCCTCTGCTTTGCTCATAATATTTGACCGTCATGATACGATATCATTCCTAAGTGTATAGACTTTGTGAATTTCCCCTCGTCCTCAAGAGAACGAAGCCTCCAACTTGGTGAATAAATCACCACTTCAAGATAAAAAGAGGTACTTTCCACTAGAATGGCATTCTCTCTGAATGGCCCAAAGATCTACCTGACATGGCCCAAGAAAACAGTTTGCTTATCCTGCAGCAAATGCTAAGCCACAAATGTGCAAATAGACCACCCGCCACAACAGCCACGCACGAACACTGTTATCCATCGGACGGAATAACTTCTGATCCGGACAAAAGAGTAGATAATATCATATGGTCCGTGCGCTATCGCAAAAAAAGTAAAAAGAGCATTGGGACACTGCGCATGTCGTACGCGGATTCTTAACTTTGCGGAGAATTTTCTTGGCCCATTCTGGTATAATTTTTGTGTTACTGAAGATCATGATCTAATACCCATCCTTGCTTGTTTTCTATAATTCCTACTGCGTGTCCGACACGATGCACTCTTACGTCCGTCCCCACCAATTCGTCGCATTGCGGCTTCCCTCCGAGTTCACAAAGATCCAGAAAATCGAGCCTGACTCGTATGTACACCATCTTTGCCCGATTTCTCTGGTATTGCTTTTTGTGTTATACAGAAATCAGTAGTGTACTGATTGAATGAATTAGAACAGTATTCCTGGGGAAATTCGGAAGCTTCCCCGCCAACCAGATCATCGGACGACCGTTCTATCTGACCTTCGAGATCCTTGATGACGCAGACGAAAAGGACGGCAGCTGTCTACGTGTAATCCCTGCAGCTGAGTTGCATGCCGAAACATTGATCGCAGAGGGGGAGGGGGAGGGAGACGGCGAAGAGCTCGACACGAACGAAGATGGGACACCGATGCGCACAAATCGCGAGACCGTCGACGACGCCTCAACTCAAAAGCTGACATGGGAGGAGATTGAGGCACTGAAGAAGGAGTCCGGCGGTGCTGGAAGGGAGATTATCTCAAAGCTTCTAGAGTCTCATCAAGCATTGGATCAGAAGACAAGTTTCTCACTCGCCAAATATATGCTGCGGAAGCGCAGAAAATATATGAAGCGGTTCACGGTTCTTCCGTTGGATGTTAGCATTCTCACGAATCATATGATGGAAGACCAGGGTGCAGCGAGGATTATGGAGTTGCGCGACGAAATGATCGGGCTCTTGGGCTGTTGGGGAAATGTGCACCATGGTGGAGACGCTTCTCTCGAGCAGGCTATTGCGGCGAAGCCTAATGGTCGCTATCTTGTTGTTGATGATACGGGAGGCTTAGTAGTTGCGGCAATGGCCGAGAGGATGGGAATCTTGTACCCACATGACGGTGATGACTATGAGGAGCAAGGGTCATCCGACGAACCCAAGAAGAACGAAGCAGAACAGGCGCAGGATGATGAACAACCACCCACCGATTCTTCCACTCGTCGCCCAGCTCGCCCAGCTCATATGTCCGCGTCTGGCAACAGCATAACTTTCCTTCACCCGAACAAGCAACCGAACCTCTCTCTCCTGAAATACTTCGGTTATAACCTAGATAACCCCGACGAGACACACCCTCTTCACAAACATCTAAAGACCGTTTCCTGGCTGCAACTGTTGGATCCCAATGCGGATCCGATCTACTCCGAAGAGCCCGAGATAATTCCCGAGTCGGAGCTATATACCATGAAATCCAACAAGCGAGGCGCTTATCACCGGAAGCGCAACAGGTGGGCGCGAGTCCAGAGCGTCGTTAATGAAGCGCGGGCTGGAGAATTCGACGGACTCATCGTCGCAACTGCCATGGATCCCTCAAGTGTGCTGAAATATGCAGTTCCATTATTAGCAGGTTCAGCCCATGTCGCAGTCTACTCTCCATCAATCGAGCCCTTGACCGAATTAATGGATCTCTACTCGACACCGAGGAAAACAGCATTCATAACCCGAAGGCAACAACTTAAAGAACAAAAGCTACTACAGTCAAGCGACCAAAATGATGCAAATGACAACGAGTCCCAAGATTCTTATCTTTCGGAACTGATGGATGAATTCTACCTGGATCCCACCCTGTTGCTGGCTCCCACGCTCCAGCACTCCCGGGTACGTCCCTGGCAGGTGCTCCCCGGGCGTACGCACCCCCTAATGTCTATGCGGGGTGGCGCTGAGGGCTATATATTCCACGGTATCCGAGTAATTCCCACTCAACAGGCTATCCAGGCCGCGGGCAACCCAAGCCGGAAAAAGAGAAAGGTCGTGACACAGGAGACACCCACCACCGCAGTTGATAGTGGCAGTGGTGTAGATGTCGAGATGAAGTCATAGGATTTTGCATTATTACCATGTAGATTAGAATGTTTCTGGACAGCCATGATTATAAAAATACGCCATACCATGTGGATATACCAATACAAATACACCATACACAAGGGTCATGTACTACGCAGTGCACTTGAGTATGACAACCTTAACAAGAATAAGCAATCCATATCTAGATATATCACAGTTCGGATACAATATAGTTCTCAGAAATTGAAATCGGAAATTCTTAAATGGTTGCTTTCATACGCTTTGTACGCTGAATAGTGACCAAACAAAAGAAAACGCATCACCCTAGAAGCTCTTTCCCATGAACTTTCTCTTCGCAAAACTCAACCACCACTGCACCACACATATTAGCGATTAATATCACAACCTAACACCATATACAGGAAATTCCTTACCTTCGAAGGACCAACACCACCGGGGTATAATCTGGCATGCAGGCGGATAGCAATCTCCTGTCGTACCTGCGAGAGGTATCTATAGCACAGCATATTAGTATCCAATCACCTGAACATAAGACCAAAATAACCATACGCTCTCAGTGACTCAGCATCCTGGCGATCGCGGGGCGGCTCGAAAGCTTGGTTAAGGGGGAAGGAGGCATCGCCGGGGATAGCGAAGTGATCGAGAGCAACGTTGTTAAGAGCCTAGCAGTGTACATCCCGGTCAGTGTTTTCGTCGCGCATCTACAACAAGCACAATTGTATATCGCATCTGGTTGGTGTACCTTGCCAGCCTCAAGAGCGGTCATGTTCGGTCTGACCTTCCCGAGACACTCGCTGATAAACAAGGTGCCGTAAATGAGCATACGGTCGGCGGGGCCGTTGATCTCAAAGTTCCGGAACAAAACATTGGCGCGGAAGAGGGACAGGATCTCGTCTACACAGTCGTACGACTCGCTGTCGACGGCGACTTCGGTGTCGGGGACATTGGATGGTAGTGGGGGGAGGGTGTATGCGGGGCCGCGAGTGCGGGTGCGGAGGGGAAGGATAGGAAAGTTGCCTGTCGGGGAGGAGTATATGGTGTCAGTCTGAGGGATATTCTGGCAGTGTATGTCTGGTATGATGTCGCATTTTGCTAAAGGCGGATCAGGAGGGGTGTAGCGGCGTACCTATTACGGGGATACCCTGATCCTGGAGGAAGACGGAGTGGTATGCCTAGACTGCGTTAGATAAGGGAACGTCGGGGTATCGTTGAATAATTGACCGCAAGCCACTCACTGGCATTGTGAATAATATAATAATATAATCAATCCCCTTTAGCGCCTGTCTATTGAGGATTGTTGAAGTAAGAAGTAGCGTCGAAGGTCGTTGATGGCGGTGCTGCCAGACGGCGGGAGGTGCATGTCATCACCTATAGGGCTGAGCTCCTGAAGCAATGAAATGATTTTCCGGCGCCGAACCTCTTTACGCGCGGATGTGTTTTGACGCGTCTTGCTTCATCCAGCAGCTTTGCAAATTTTAGATTGCCTTCTATTTGCATGATAGTATTTACTTTAATTCTCTGAAGACTCAATTAAAGGCGCTAGTCAATATATCCCGGCAAAATGTCCGATTACGAAGATGAAATGGACGTGGATGCTCCGTCTAAGAGCATCCAATTCAGTTCCGATAATACCAGTGGGAAAGCTAAGAGAGTTGCGTCAGACCTGCCGGTCGAGGCTCAAGATAACCTGCCATGGTGAGTACTAGCTTCGCATTGCTACATCATTACTAGCTCGCTGATTCGTTCCAGGGTTGAGAAGTACCGACCAAACACTCTCGACGACGTCTCCGGTCACAAGGACATCTTAGCCACAATTAACAAATTCGTTGATGCGAATGTATGCGCCGAAAAGCCAGAAACGTTACCACATCACTAATCTCTACAATAGCGACTACCGCATCTTCTTCTATATGGGCCTCCCGGAACTGGCAAAACCTCTACAATCCTTGCGCTCGCAAGGCGGATATACGGGAGCAAAAACATGCGCCAGATGGTGCTCGAACTGAATGCTAGTGACGATCGAGGCATTGATGTTGTCCGAGAACAAATTAAGACCTTTGCTAGTTTGTGCCCCCGGAAAGGAACTACTTCATTCGGCAGTCACCTTACCTGGTATAGGCACGAAACAGATCTTCTCCATGGCCCCGCAACCGACGTCTGGTGGATCGTCACTCGCATCGTACAAACTGATTATCCTTGACGAAGCAGACGCCATGACTGCGACCGCGCAAATGGCACTCCGCCGGATTATGGAGAAATATACCGCCAACACAAGATTCTGCATTATTGCCAACTATACCCACAAATTATCGCCCGCTCTTCTGTCCCGTTGCACCCGGTTCCGCTTTAGCCCGTTGAAGGAGCAGGACATCAGGTCACTGGTTGACCTGGTCATTGAAAAAGAACAGGTAAACATTCAACCAGAGGCCGTGGACAGCTTGGTCAAGTTAAGTAAGGGTGACATGCGTCGCGCCCTGAACGTGCTACAAGCCTGCCATGCAAGCAGTAAGTACAGAACCAAAGCAACTCTGCACATCGAGATTCTGATGTTATACAGGCATACCGCTCCCTGTCAAGAATGCACCGAAAGACCAACCCCGTCCTGAACCGGAACTGATCACGAATGGAACGATTTATGAGTGCATAGCCGCACCGCACCCCGCTGACATTCAAGAGATTATGACTACACTTCTTGCTACTAGTGATGTCACTTCGTGCCTCAACACCGTGAATACCTTGAAATCCAACAAAGGGTTGGCCTTGGCCGATATCCTTGCGGCTCTGGGTGAACAACTGCAGCAGCTAGAAGTCCCTGCACAAACGAGAATCACTTGGCTCGAAGGCCTCGCTGAAATAGAATTCCGACTTGCCGGCGGAGGCTCTGAAGCCATACAAACCGGTGGTCTGGTTGGGGTTGTACGGAATGGGTGCGAGCTTATGGGGGATAAGGGCGTGTCCATGGCGAGTTAGCTTCGCTATATTCTTCCTGTTATTTATTGCATGTTCACACCACACCACACGTCATCAAAAACTATTTATGGTGATGTCTTCATGTCGGAGTTTGGGGGCTTTGAAATTGCGCATTTGCATCCATCCTTAAGTTACAATGAACCAGCTAATTTTGCGCTAAAACGATGAGAAAGTTAAACGAAGGTGACATCTCTAAGGAGTCTGAACTCGTATTGGCCTGATGGCAAAGAACATCACACGGTCAAGGGCTAAATTAGCTGCATGACGGCCCTATCCGCGGAACAACAGGGACTGGTCAAGAGACAGAGGGAATTGAGGGGTCGGCATTAAAAGAATTCTCGGGCTTACTTCGAATTGGCCTCGTGCCACAACAAGCCCTAGTTTCCCTCCAACTAACTTGGGATAAACAAATGAACAAGAAAAGCGGGCTTATCTGATCCCGATCGGTAACGAAGGGGTCTTATCAGTCATGGCAACTCTTTGTATGACTCATGAGCACTAAGATCAACAAAAGAAAACAAAGAAGAATCCCCGCGGAGACTTGATAGACACCTCCGGGTATCTCATAAATTTATTGAGAGATCTTGGCACCGCGGACCTGGCCGATATACTCCGATAACAACTTGTCAATACCCTGGAAGTCAAAGCGGACACTTCACCTCCACTTTCTGCACGTTGATCCAGTGGCCCATTATCTTCAAGCGATAGACGTCAATTAGCTAATAATTTTCCGTATGCCCCACTCCCATATGTTACGCTGTTTGTCCATTCGGAGCACCTAGTACGCTTTTTTTCGCTTCTTTCCCTCCGACAAACCAGTCAACGGCTGCATTACAGGTTCATTCGGCATTGACCGCCGTAGAAACTTGCCCCTTCAGGGTTTATTAAAAAGAGGGGAAAATGGCATGGTTAAGTTTCTCACTAGATGTGACCCCCTCCGTCGGTGCAGGGGTCATAATGATCACATAACTTCTCCGTGGTCAATGCGAAGACCCCTACGAGTCTATATAATGAACTACTAGTCCCCCACCCCACTTTCTTCGACTTCCCTCCAGAAGACCTACCCCAAATTGCTGCTGCAGATCCAGGCTGCTGCGAGGTAGTAAGTCGTAAGGAATCACACTTCAAACAATGCGGTCTTCCTTCCAGCCCACCAGCCTCCTGCTGGCCTTGACGGCCATGGACCTCGCTTCCGCAGAGAGAGTCCTGGGCGCATATATCTTCGCCCGCCATGGAGACCGCACGCCCAAAGTGCTAGGAAACACCCGGCTCACCGACCTCGGATACAGCGAGGTCTACCAAGCTGGCAGCTACTACCATGACCGGTACATCGATGCAAGCTCCTCGCTGCAGATTGAGGGCATCAGCTCCAACGTCGTGAACCTGAAGCAACTTACCGCGTCCTCGCCCTCGGACGCAGTCCTCCAAAACTCCGGCGTAGCCTTCATGCAAGGCGTCTATCCGCCAGTAGGGTCCTCGGCCAACGAGACCCTAGCCAACGGCACGACCATCTCAGCCCCGTTGGGCGGCTACCAGCTCATCCCCCTCAGCCTGGTCTCCACGGGCACAAACAGCGAGGACAACACCTGGCTGCAGGACGCAACGGGCTGCAACAACGCCAAGGTCAGCAGCAACAGCTACTACAGCTCAACCCTATACAAAGACCTCTACGACTCCACCAAGGACTTCTACCAGTCACTCTCGTCCATGCTAGACGGCGCCTTCGCACAGGACAAAATGAGCTTCAAAAGCGCCTACACCATCTACGACTACCTCAACGTCGCCAACATCCACAACACAACCAACACGCCCACAACAGAGCAGCTGGAGCAACTCTTCCTCCTCGCCAACATCGAGCAATACAACCTCGCCTACAACACCTCTGACACCGTCCGTGCCATCGCAGGCTCCCAACTCGCCGGCGAAATGCTCCAGGGCCTCAACAAGACCATCACCTCCAAGGGCGCCAACAAACTCAACATCCAGTTTGGCTCCTACGGAACCTTCCTCTCCTACTTCGGGCTTGCTCAGCTCCCCGCCGCTGATGTCAATTTTACCGGAATCCCAGACTATGCGTCGTCCATGTCTTGGGAGCTGATCACCGATTCCACTGCAGATGGATTCCCTGATGCCTCGGAGATCAGCGTGCGCTTTATCTTCCACAACGGCACTATTACTGGTTCCAACGACGCCCCGAAGGAGTTCCCTCTGTACGGCCAGTCGAGTGCCACGATCCCATGGTCGAAGTTCGTCGAGGAGACAAAGAAGATTGCCGTCACTGATACGGAGGAGTGGTGTAAGGTTTGTGGAAACACGGACGGTAAGTGTGCGTCCTATAATACTGATGGCTCGGGATCCGATTCCGCGGGTGCCACGTCGAAGAGTGGTAGTGGTGGTGGTGTGTCTAGAGCTGTGGCGGGTGTTATTGGTGCCATGGTCACCCTGGCAGTTATCTTTGGTTTGGAGGCGCTGTTCCTGCTTGCGGGTGGCTTTACTATCACTAAGAAGCGGAAGGCTGGGGCTGATGGGGTTACCTCTGTTGTTACGGAGAATAAGGCCTAAAGTAAATGTTGTGGTGGGATTTAAAAATGGTTAATGAATTTTGTGAAGGGGGGAAATAGGTTTGAAGTTTCGTGATGGATGACTTATGGTCTTTATGTTATAATGCTGTCTGATGTTGCCGGCAACTGATTAAGATGCATAATATGAGAAATGAAAGTAATGCGCTCAAACAGACAAGAATCCAACAAGTATTAAGCTCTTCGTAGACCTGCCAATATATACCAGATAATAGGTTAAAATAATCAATATCCACAGACCAAATATTATCCTATAAACGTCACCCATGGCCATGCCCTAACACTTCTGCATTCCCAACGAGGCTCGCCGAGACTTGAACCAACTCGGCGTAAGATATCTAGTCATGTATTGACTGATGTACCAAGGTACTCGTACGATTCCAGTAATGAGCCCGAAGCGATCACGGTACAGTCTCGGAGTTTGACTCAAGACGTCAAGCGTTCTTGAAGGGTCCATTTCTGGGCACTCAGGCTTTGGACCCAGCAATTTCTTTATCCTGGATGCATTTTCCAGCTCGCAGAAGTTGACGAGTTTATGAAGAGAGATACTGCGGCCGTTATGTGTCTCTGTAAGATATTGCACCGTCTCTTGATGTTCAATGCTTATATGACTCTTGTATAGTCGTGATCTATGAATCGTCACCTGTAGGTTTGTAGTGTTGCATTGTAGAGATGAAAAGGCTCCTTCGATCGCCCAAGGAATATCAGCACTCGAAACCAGGAGGCTCTCTAAATGGGTGGCGTATAATATCTTGTCAGCAGGGCTCAGAGTAGCGAGCCATTTTAGGGCTGCTAGGAGCGCTGTATTTAGAATATTGGTTTGGGGCCATCCCTTGATGTAAGTAATCTCCATGTGTGGGCCCTGGGCAAAGCCTTCCAAGTATGACTCTACTACCCTCAATAATTCGACATTGCCAGTATCATATATTGATTCAATAATACAGACTAGGATATGTAATTGAAACTTGTCGAGGACCAACCTCGAATTTTGGAGGATCTTATAGCGCATATACTCGACATATTGCGTATAGCTAGCCCAGTGAAAAGCCGAAAAGTAACATGCGGAGGGCGTGAAGTGGCCCGTCTTACTGATATATACCGGAAGTTGGTTTTGCTGGTCCTGAAGGCGGCTGAGGCCTTTGGGTGCAAAGGACTACGTGATCAAGTTCATCGAAGAAACAGAATGTTAAAACACCTCGAGCTTCTTTCTGGCAGTATTCCAGTAATTATGGCAAATCCTTTAGGAGAAGCCATCGAAGCCTGGTGGAGTGAAAAGTGTACAAGCCAAAGAACTTGATTTCAGCAAGAACAATCTGACTCATAGCGTCAACAATATCGAACCCTTCGCATGCTTCCCTAATATCCAATACGTGGTGCGTCTGTGGAAAATCAAACACTGAGTGGTGGATGAAGGTGAAATGCTCAATATCGGTGTGTTTCATAAGCAAATGTCCTCTGTAGGGCAGGGGTTTTATCTCAAGAAGGCCTCTCGATTGATCCTTAAGTCTTGCTTGGGCTTGAATTTTACGAGTTGCCATACCAGATTCACTTAGCTTGCAACCTCTTAGCTCAGTGTGGATGGCAAATGTGGCGTCTATCTCATAGTCAGACAAGAAGTTGTATCTAAGGAGAGTCATTGGTGTCATTCCCAGCTCGGACAGTTTTCCAACCACCGCAAATGTTCGATACGCTGAAATGCGGTCAAGTGGATTGGCCCAGGCAAGCAAGTGTTCGATCAGTGACTTCATGTCCCGTGGCATCCTCTGTATTCTTCTCAACAGATGTTCGAGTTGATTATCGTATTTTAAAGACCTTCTTAACGACTTCAGAACCAGAGCGGCCCAAAGGAAAACTCCATCAGCCCTGTCCACTATCTCTTTTACTAATTTCTGCTTATTCTGAGCTGCTGACTCGGTGTAGCTGCATATCTCGAATCCTTTCAGTCGATGGATGACAAAATTCTCAATGTCAAGTCGAGTCAATTCGTGGAGCTGAAGTCGCTTCTCGTCCACGAATATTTCATAGTTCCTAGACGAGACGCAAAGCTTCAAATCAAGCGGGGCCGCATCGATCCAGCCCAGGAGCAAGTTCACCATGTCATGGTAATCTTCCTGGCAGGTTTCCAAGCACTCATCAAGACCATCAATAAAGAAACAGAGGCGGTATTTCTTATAGAGCTCTTCTTTGTGCAAGAGGGTGTTTAAAGCCGCACGAATATCCCTTCGAGAAAATCGAAACGGCAACTGGACTCTCCAATCGGTTCTCATAGACTCCTCCCATCGTTCCGGGAAGGCAACTAGTATGAATTCCGGGCATTGTTTCAGGGTATCATGCAAAATACCACACAAAAGGCCATCCAACGTCTTCTCTGCTTCAGTCCCGGGCCGCCAAAAAAAGAACCGCACAAGTACTAAGCGCCTATTCCCAGCCCATTGCCTAAGCCCATTCATAGTGTGCTTGTAAGTAGATAAGAACTTCAATCAAAGCGGACTTCCCAGATCCGAGCTTTCCAGAGGTGTGAGACCATATGTTTAGCAAGCAAAGAACCTGAACCCGTTGAGGCAACACAAGAGTCTAATTTGCCATGAGCACTGAGCCTGCCCCTACAACTCTCTCCAATGTTACAGTGCTTGTATGTAGTGAATCCCTGATACTACTGATGGTCCCCGAAGTCATGAAACAGGTACACAATAAATCAACTAGGATAAACAAACATAGCTTGTGTCGGTAGGAACTTGCAGCGGCTGCTGCTCCGCATCTGAATTTGGTGGTAGCACGACATTCATTTCCACGAGCTAGACTATGAAGATACCCCAAGTATGCCAAAGTCAAGGAGGGCCTTGAGCGGCGTTTCAAAGAGCGGGGCTTGGCGCTTAAATGTCATCCAAATTATGTCTCCCTCTCGTTTTCGAGATGCTTTGATCCCATCTCTCTGGAAATGGAATCAGTCACACTAGAGGCCTTGCCTCCAGAGGTCAAACTGCTCGTTCTGTATGCCACCCCAGATCTTCCTTCCCTAAATGCATTGGTTCATGCCTCTCCCTCATTCCATACGCTATATTTATCACAGCGAAAACAGCTGCTATCAACTATCCTTGAAAGACGCCTTCAGATACCTGTCATGGTCGATGCAGTCGCTGCATTGATCGCCTTACGCGGGCGGGAGGAAAGATGCAAAGCCCCAAAGCCTGGTCGAGAGGCAGTTAATGAGTTTCTGAGCAAATGCATTCTCTTGCGTTCAATACTTGACCCACCATACTCCTTTTTCTGCAGAGAAATACCTAGGTCAGAAGTTGGATGTTTATCAAGTGTTTGCCTCTTTAGTGGAAGAGGATCTACTTGAAATGGCTCGACTTCACACTATAGTAGAGTTTATCTTAGAAGATATTGTCCACTCATTCCTCGAGCTTAGGCCAGATGCCCAAAAGCCAAAGGAGGAGAAGGTTGTGTTATCACCATCAGAAACATTCCGGATGCAGCGAGCTCTCTACCGACTGGAAATCCATCGACTCTTGTTCAATAGCAGGGATCTTCCATCGTTTGCCGGCTTAGATTACTTTGAAGACGTACATCTTGACGGCAATGACCAATGGATTTTCTTCCTTAGTTTATTCAGCCCATGGGAAATGGAGGAGATCCGATGTGTCCTGATGTATATGTTTCGAGCATCTGAAGAGCTGCCAGGAGCGACCGTATTTGACTATTGGTGTGAGCTCTCTCCCGATGAGAATGAAGATCCATTATCTCATCTTTATGATCATAGTATGATTCATATCACCGGATAATCTAATATTATCTTGATAACTTAAGTGATCTAGAGATTGACGACACCAACAGAGAACGTTATGTCTCTTACGGTCTGGGTTTTCTCTCTCACTAGATAGAAGTCGATTTCCACCCGCCAGTGACTGTACGTTGGTCCTATGGAACCGCTTTGAGGCGGGTGTATTGCGACAACCTAATATATGGAAGGTACCCAGCCAAGATAGCGTACCCTCCTAGTCGTACAGCTTGTTTCCTTTCCAGGAATTCATTCATAGGCCAGAGCATGCTCGCGTTATCTAACAGACGACCTATGTTTCTGATCAACCGACAAAGTTGATCGAAGGCTACCAACATCAAGCAAATCAAGACGTTAATCTCCCAATTAGCGGCCCTTAACGTATGCCGTTGTTTCGAAGGCCATTGCGTAGAATTTCATCATTTCATCGATATCACGTTCCTACAACATCATGTTATAAGTTGATTGCGGTCATATAGACAGAGTGAACGAAGTATCAAATGAATACCAGGGACAGCAATGTTAGAGAAACTTCGATCAATATGAACACCAACGAGGTAGCGAAAAAGCACTTTGCAAAAGCAGTGAATGGCAGATAGAGCTAAGGTAGCTTGCTGTTATCACCGAGAAAAACAAAAGCAAAAAGAGAAGCCGAACGCGGGGGTCGAACCCGCAACCTTGAGATACCGTGATGACTAAGAGTCTCACGCTCTACCGATTGAGCTAGCCCGGCTACTTGTTGAAGAACGCTTCGTATTTTGGTTATATAAACCTATTTTGAAAAGAAGCGGGCTCTGCTTCATATGAACCTATTTCATGGACCACACTCCATGGCAGGCCGGCAAACTAATTGTTAATGTAGGCTATTCAACAATCCTACTGAGCATAAATGACCAAGGAAAGGAAAGGACGAAAAATACAACTTATTCCTTCTGTGAGAGAGCATCTCGACTCAAACATGGTTCTCTATAGTTAACTCTGCATAATAGCCGCTAGTGCAGACCTACCGGATTAGAAATATATAAGCATCTCATCTCGCCCGGTAGCTTACCGATTACATCAACCTTCTCCCGACTAGACTCGCACAGTATACATCCACCAGGATCATGGCAACAGAAAAGTCACCAGCAGCGGAGATTGCTGCATCACTCCACGATGGCAAGGTACATCTACTTCTGGCTGCAACGGGCTCTGTTGCCACAATAAAGCTACCACTTATCATTGCGGCATTCGCAGATCATCCGAATATCTCAATTCGGGTGATTCTCACCAAAGCTGCCGCTGAGTTTCTTCGTGCTCAATCAGAGGAACAACCTTCGGTAGAATCACTCTCATCGCTTCCTAACGTCGACTCGGTCCTCCATGATGAGGATGAATGGTCTCAGCCCTGGACTCGAGGCTCAGACATACTACACATCACCCTCCGTAGATGGGCTCATTTATTAGTTATCGCCCCACTGAGCGCCAATTCACTGGCGAAAGTGGTCCACGGAATGTCTGACAATCTACTCACGAGCGTTGTACGCGCATGGGACACGACCGGGTTGATCGACGGGAGAAAGAAACGGATACTTGTCGCCCCCGCGATGAATACAGCGATGTGGATGCATCCTGTGACAGCACAGCAGATGCGCGTACTGCAAGAAGATTGGGGGATTAAAAAAGTCAATGGGAATGAGCAGGGCTGGTTTGAAGTCCTCCGGCCCATTGAGAAATCGCTCGCGTGTGGTGATGTGGGGTCCGGCGGGATGATGGAATGGCGGGAGATCGTGAAGATCGTTAAGCAGAGATTGGATCCTTCTGCTTGAGTTTAGTATACATGCCGCCTCTTTATTCTGTGATAATCGGAATGCAAAATACTTCGAGGTCTAGCCACGGTAGTGGTAATTCCACCTAACTACCCTTCTCGACTCAATGTTACATCACCAGTCTCGTGTCCGGAAAAGTGCGCCTGCGAATGGTACGCTGGGGCTATCCAGAAGTCACTCCGTGCACTTCATTGGGTATTGGTAAGAAAGAATGAATCACTAATTCTCAATCCTTGACAAAGGACTAGGATCCCTGCTCCCACTTTCACTAGAAGCGCCTTCATTTCAATCATTGTCATGGCCCCCGGCGACTGGAGTCTTGAATTCTAGCCGAACAGCTATTTGCACTTAGATCGAGACGCAATGAACTAGGCCTGAATCGAGCTCAGGATGCGCCAAATTGAGCGTCTTAGCATTGCGGTTCTGCTGCTTTGCTCTATTGTGTGGCTTGCGAAACGCTTCAACAATCCGTCCTTGGAGGTTCACCAGTTGTCTCGTTGGCACAATGGGATCAATTTGGGATACACAACGCCCATGCCAACACCCACCATTTCTCAAAACACGTCAACCACTAGAAAAAAACGGCCAAGTATCACCGACCTGACGCCCTCACGGCATAAGGGAGCTGAGTCGCCTAACAATGAGCACCCCAAGATCAAGATAACAGCAATCGATCGCGTTATTGTTGTTGGAAAGACGAAAGAGGACGATACGAACTGGGTAGCGAACGAGTTGTCCAGGTAAGACCTGTACTCTGGATGTATAGCCGGTGGAGCTAACGTATCAACGCAGCTGGCAGCACGCAATCTATGCAGTGGATGACCCCGATGCACCCCTCCATGTAGCCAAGAACAAAGGGAGAGAAGCCAACGTGTACCTGCAATACATAATCGACAATTATGATGACCTCCCCTCCACCATCGTCTTCCTCCATAGCCACCGCGACGGCTATCCAAGAGCCTGGCATACGGAATTCTCCGACCACAGCAATGTACGTACCGTCCGAATGTTGCAGACAGATTTCGTCCAGCGCAACGGTTACGCCAATCTGCGCTGTAACCCCAATCCGGGCTGTCCTGACGAGATCCGCCCATTTCGCGGATTAAGCGACGAAAAGCACTTACCGGAGCAAGTGTTCCCTGAGGTTTGGAAGACGTTCTTCAACAATACCAATGTCCCAGAGGTCATCGCGACCCCATGCTGCGCGCAATTTGCGGTGTCGAAAACGCAGGTGTTGCAGCGCCCATTGAGCAGTTATGTGCGGTATCACAAATGGCTTATGGAGACCGAATTACCAGACGACACCAGTGGACGGATCATGGAGTATATGTGGCATATAATTTTCGGGCAGGATCCCGTCTAGTAGGTCACTCGTCTTATGATATCAGCTCCTTTTACTGACTTGCCGTATAGTTGCCCTGATATATACCAATGTTACGAAGATGTTTACGGCACTTTTGATTAGCGATTGTCAGATCAAAATATATATTCTCTAGAAAAAATGAATAAGCTGAAAACAGACATGATATCATCATTGGCATTGATTAAATAGCAAAAGTTGCGCCCAACAAGCCATGGGACTAGTATACTCAACCGATTATACACGCCGTTAGGTATTCTACTAGAACTAGCTCAAATGTTTTCCACCATGAAAATCAGTAAAAGAAAATACAACTACTTAATTCAAGCAGAGACAAAACATCGCAATAACATCTCGCATACATGTAGAAACTAAAATTGTAAATGTCTATTGTCTAAACAGAGCGGCCGTGACATGACGTGACCACATCTACAATCGAATGAATTTTCCCCGAAAGGCTTCGACATCCGCCGAACACGCCCTCTTCCTCGACCACAATCCCCCTCCCCCCAAAACCCCACGCAACCCTTACTTCCGTGGAGGTTTTCCAATAATGAGAATCGCACACAATAACCTCACAATCTAACTCAACATCCTCCCACTCACCCACGGAAACCATCTCTAACGGAGCTCCAAGACACGCGCGAACCCTCAACCTTCAAACCCAACGCAATTCAACCGCACATCAAACAACCCTCCAAACCCCCCCAAAATGTCCGCTCATTACGCAACAGAACCAAACCCGACAGCCTCAGCAACCCTAAACACAACCTTCGGCCCCCTCCACATCTCCCTCTTCGCAACACAAACCCCCCTAACATGCCGGAACTTCCTCCAACACTGCCAGGATGGCTACTACACTGACACGATCTTCCACCGCGTAGTCCCCGGCTTCATCATCCAAGGCGGCGACCCGACGGGCACAGGTTCAGGAGGTACATCGATCTACGAGGACCCTGAGTTCGAATACGACCCGGAGGCGCGGGATCCGAACGAGAAGGTCGTGCTCCGCGATGAGCTGCACAGTCGGTTGCGGTATAACCGGCGCGGGCTGGTGGGGATGGCGAAGAGCGAGGATGGGAGTTACGGGAGTCAGTTCTTCATTACGTTGGGGAATACGGAGCGGGAGTTGAATGGGCAGTGTACACTTTTCGGGCGCATTGAGGGCGATAGTATTTACAACATGGTGAAGATTGCAGAGGCAGAGAGGGTGGAGGGGACGGAACGCCCTGTGTACCCCGTCAAGATCATATCCTGTGAGATTGGAGAGTTAGGTCCGCTAGCAGGAAAGATCAAGAAGCGCCAGATCACGGCGACGCGAACCGCAAAGACAGAGGACAAGCCCGCACCGAAAAAGAAGAAGAAGAACAAGGGAGGCAAGACACTCCTGAGTTTCGGCGATGACGGTGACGGCGACGAAGATATGCCCATTCGACCCGCGAAACCGAAGTTCAACTCCAGTCTGGTGACAGACACAAACATCCCCGAGTCCCACAAACCAGCCCAAGAACCGAAACCAACAAAGAAACGCCCGCGCTCACCCTCCCCAGAGCCCAAACATCGTCCCAAGACTCCAGAACCAGAGACCCAGCTCCCGCTCCCCAAACCCGAATCGCCAGACCGCTCCCCCTCACCAGCAGCACCACCACAAAAGCAATCCTTCCTCTCGCGCACCAATGCCGAAATCGAGAATCTCAAGGCCTCCATGCGCAGAACAGCCAACACCGGCCCCGCAGATACAGGACACAAAAAGTCCGCCCTAGAAGCCATGATCCCTGAGACAGCTATCCGCGGCCGCAAACGCCCTCCACCGGGCATGTCGGCCTCAACCAACGGCTCAAACGGGATAACAGGGTTCAGCAGCTCAGCAGACAATGAGACACTCAAACTCTTCAATGCGTTCAAGGCCAAGCTTGAAAGTGCCGATTCCACGTCCGCTCCCACGCAGAAGACCACATCCCAAGATACCAAGCCTTCTACTGAGACGCAGGAAGCAGATGACGAGGAGGCGCAGCTCTGCGATCTTCACTTTATCGCGAATTGCCAATCTTGTAAATCATGGGATGATGATCAGACCGCGGAGGGCGGGAAGGCTGGTGCTACGGCGGAGGATGAGGAAGGCTGGTTGACGCATGAGTTGCGCTTTGGTAAGGATACGCTTGGTAAGGATTTGAATTGGAAACGGGAGCATCAGGATGCGGACTCGCTTATGGTGATCGATCCGCGGGAGAAGGAGAAGGAATATGTTGGAGGGAAACGGAGAGGGCTTGAGAGAGATCGGGAGCGAGATAGGAAGCGCGAGCGTGCAGGTAATCTGGAATGGGACAAGGCACGGAGAGGGAAATAATTTGCTGTATACGAATGACTACGTATGTACTTTCAAACCATAGAACCGTCTTCATGACACGATGTAGATCTATATATCTCGAAATATTGTTTAGCTTTGCAGGAGATTACGTACAAAGTTAACAACAGTGAAAGGCATTATAATGCCTCGTGGGAAAACAATGCATGTACATCAATAAGCATAGACAAGCAGGTCATAGCTGGAAGCTCAGTCATAACTATGTACTCAAGTCATTAAAACAAGTGATAAGGATGATTAGAACGAGATCATGAGAGAGGTCCTCCTGGCCCACCATGGCCACAAGATAAGTATCCCAACAGAGGTATATAAACGACACTCCATGTGGGACTCCGTCCCATGCTCATATCTTCCCTTAACTTTTTTTTTGGTTGTCCCGCCGAATCCTAATGCCATTATTCGTAGTGCTATCCGCCTTTGTCGAAACAGAAGACCGGACTCAATTCAGACACCGATCAACTCACAATCCAATAAAACGGATCTGCAAAGGCCGCCGTCCTTATTGGAAGCCCAATCGTAGGCTGCTGGTATGTGTAAAAGATTATTGACTAGTCGTATGCGTCACCGGATTCAGATCAAGAGACCGCAAAACCAGTCTGTCTTGTTGTATTAGGATCGAATAGCTTGGCTAGACGAGGGGGAAAGATGAATAAACGGGACTCGATTTGTACCTTTTTGACCCAATGATGCCTCGTTTATTCGCTTCGAGTGGGTGGGAACGAAAATTGGACAAAGGAAATTGATAGTGGTTTGAGGTCGTTAACTCCCAACGGTGTGTCGCATTTCACGTCTTTCGCTTCTTCAGAGTGGTTTCCCTTTCTTTATTGCCGACGCACAACCCCGTTAGTAGAGTATATCAAACATATTAAGCCTTCTTGCGCCGCTTCGCGCTACCGCCGTTTCCCTTACCTCCCTGGAAATCTTTGCCCCCGTTAGAGACGCCATACTGCGCAGGCTCATCCACGGTGTTACTTGGGCTGGTCGCTTCGCTATCGGTAAGAGTCTCGATGATTCTACCAGCGCCCGGATTTATCGTATTATTAAAGCCGCTGCCATCGTAGCCGTTATAGAAGCTGGGGTTCTGTTGCTGTTGCTCCGGTCCCTCGAACAGATCGCCGTTATCAGGGATATGGTCAAAATCAAACAGGTCGTTTCCGTCTTTGATTACGCTATCATCTGCACCTGTAGTGACAGGCTCGCTTGGTGCCGTAGTTGGTACAGAAGTTGTGGTGTTTCCAAAGTCCAAGTTGTTCTTATTGTTCTCAAGATCCCCAATGTCCGTGAAGTAGTCATTATTGAAGATCTGATCGAGGTCTAGTGGAGGAGGAGGAACACTTCCATCGCCTGTTACCATGCCGGGGATCGTCCCTGTTGGGCTAAGCGGCTGTAGAAGGTTTGTTAAGTTCTGGACCGAACGGTCTTGCTCAGCTTGCATTTTCACAAGGTTGTCAATCTCCGCGCGGGTGCTGGCAAGACGATTCGAATAACCGAGAGGCATTGGCGGTGGTGTGGGGGTCATTAGGGCATTGTTTTGTGACACAGGTACATTGGAGTCACCCGAGTTAGTCTCGTTGGCCATGAGACGGAGCATATCCGCGCGTTGGTTTGGAGTAAGAGGAACATTGCCGTTTGAGGTTTCCAGCGACGACAATACATTGGGAAAGTCAGCAAAGCTTGTGGGCGGAACTCCATTTCGCGCATTGGTATTTTGAATGACGGACATAATATCCCGCTGAGGAAACTGCTCGGGTTGAGGCGGTTGCGCTTCTTTCGGCCGGGGACTGGTATCAAAGACTTCTTCAACATGACCATGTTGGGGAGCGCTCGGGTGGCGAGCATGACCCCGCGGTTGTGGACCGTCATACGCACTGGCGGCCGGTGAGAGGGTTGTTGCGCGGCTTTGTCGTTCTGACGGCGCAGCTTTCAGAAGCAGGGGTTGCTTCTTCATTGCTCGCGGTCCTCCAGGGCTATTTATATGCTGAGCACCCAAAGTGCTCAGCGAATAGTCATCTCCCATGTCGACTACGTTGCCTTGATCCTGTGAGATGGCCCCAGCAAAAGAATTGGCGAGGTTTTGAGGTCCTTCCTGTCCCTGAAGGCTGCGATTATAGACAGTCGCCAGAAATGTGAGAATCGCATTAATGGAATTCTCGTGACGAGTGTGTTGCTCTTGGAAATTGGCGGCCTGTGCGTAGAGTTGCTCGTGCTCTCTCCGTAGCTTGGTGATTGTGTTGGAGATAACCTGCTGTTGCTGCCGAATAGCCTGCAACTCCCGGTAAACCCCCGCGAGTTGATCTTTCGGCATAATATTTCCTCCTTGGACTAGGGATAACTGTCGATTACGGGATCGGTCGTCTCGTGCACCAGGGACATCATCGTAGTCATCGTTCTCATGCTCATCTACGTCTTCGGTTTTCACGCGTACATTGGCCTTCCCTGGTTTGTTCCCTTGCCCTGCCGTATTCTTAGGTTTCTGTATCAACCACAGCAAATCGGGGTGGCCACGCTTGAAGTATGGGTTCGCATACTCGCTAGGGCTCTTGTTCTTTCGTTCACTGGCGCGCATCGAATTGTCCGAGAGCCCCACCTTCTTATGAAACCCGTACATGTTCAACTGGCGGACAAAGGAAGCGTAGTTGTTATGCTTGAAAAGTTCGGGAATTAGGGTCTTTGCGAACTCGTCCTCGTCTAACACGATAAAGGAATTTCCATCATCGGACCACCGAATTAGGTCAGTGTTCTTAGACTCGTCCAGGAAACTGGAAGTATTTGTTAGTCGTTGATCGCCAATGTAGTTTTTACGTCACTTAGACCATACCTGCTTAACTTTTGAACAAATGGAGGGATTTGTTTCCTCTTTGCCTGCACCTCCCTCTTCGCAACCAATGCCCGCTGGTAGAGCTCGTCCAAACTTTCCCCCCAGCCCCCAGGCTCTCCAGTATTACTCCCATGGTCAGACAAGGAGGACGGTGTCTGTTCGTATCCACGATTCCGGCTGACCAGTTGATTTGGTGTCTGTCTACGAGCGAGTTGTGTAGATGCAGTTGCCGTAGATGCCGGCACATCTTGGCCCGCCGAATATGCTGTAGCGCCATAGGGATTCGCATCAGAAAAGGAAGACGGGCTGACAACATTTGAGGAAGTGGTTTGACCCCATTGTAAGAACTGGTCGTTTGAAAGCTGAGCACCAGAGTTTTGCGGATAGTTAGGGATCGGACCAAGTTGTGGATGAACGATAGGAGATGTGCCGGGAGCGGGTCTTTTGCGAGACGTCAAGCCTTGAGGACTCATGGCAGACGGTATGGCGATGCCTGGCCGGTCGGGAGGAAATGTTTTATTCAGTCTAAGACTCGTTTATTGAGGTTGAGTAAAGATGCGGTAAAATCCGATATCTAGTCAATAGTGTGTTCTTCAATGGCTTTTTCAGCCAAGGCTAAGGCTATGGCGGGGAACTCGTATGGCGCGACGCGGCTCAATACTGAAAATAACAATAACAGCGCAAAGAATCGTTTATAGGGTTTCCGTTTGAAGCGGTATCATCCAGGTGGAATCGACAAACGCTTGGGAAGAAGGTCTACGGCAACGGGCCGATATATCGATATTGGAACGCGACACGCGGGGCGATAAATCACTATCAAGAGGGTCGATGTCAATCTAATAACAGGCTCGCGGCAGGCCCAGCTAAGATGAGCGACGAGGAAGAAGCAAGCCAATTGCTTATCACTGTTGCGATTTAAATGTGTGATGAGGACTTGTAAGCGGCGCCTTCTCAGGAACGGGCGCTGCGGCGGATGGGTGGAGGAGGACTGGCACCGGCGCAAGGTTTAAGGGAAAAAAAAAAAAAAAAAAAAAAAAAAGAGGGCAAATCCGCCCGTTTCGCAAACTCGAGAAGACAAACAATATAGTGAAGTGCAGCAGCGACGCAAACAAGAGTTACCGAATCCAAGTGATTCTGGACAACTCGCGTTTGATGAATGGCGATGGCTGAAGATGGCCTGCGTCTGGCAAATCTTCTCTCCGCTACCGTCGAGATGCTTGGCGGTGACGATGAGGTCAATAGTCCACGGCGGTCGCTGATTGGCTAGGGAGGCTGAGTAAGCCAGTCGCTCACCAAACGTGTGCGGACTAGGGCTGACGGGCGAAAAGATTGCTATACAGTGTCTACTCCAGGTATATCGTTATCTTTCTACCTGAGCTATGGGATGTGGACAAATTCACTTGGTCTCAAGCTGATCGTTTCGGATTGCCTTGTTTCCTTAACGCCTACTAGTTTAGTTAACGCGGCATGCCCACTGATCCACTCATATGCAAACGACCAATCATCTTTCATGACCATACCGTGGCATCGTCCTTATTTTTTGCAAAAGCTTCATATGCTACCATTTTGTCCGCTCTAGATGATTCCATTGAAGTTCCACTAGATTCCATTGATTGTCGTCTCAATCTGAATGCGCTTTGGCCATCGGACAATAGGAGCAACCCTAATGCAGGGCACGCGAAGGGAACACTGCTCAATTAGAGCGCGACATGATCCCCAATCAGTTCCTGAAAGTTCTCAAGCACCCTCTGCCATACATTCGGGTGATCTTGGGAGAACCTCTCTACCTTCTCGGGGGCAGTCAGATCCGCCTCCATGCGGCCCCGATTACTCGTCCCGTTCAATAAAGTGGTGTTCCCCAGGGCTAAAACAAGGCAATACAGAGCTGCAGCGGGACTGATTTCTGTGCGACTTGCTAACAATTGGATTGCATCCGATTGAACTAATTCTGGATTTGCCGTCAGTGTCCAGAAGCTCTGGTAAATTATGTCGTTATCCCGGCAATATGAGCGCAACGGGACATCGAACTGGGTGCCCCCATAGAAACGATTCTGGACAACCGCTGGTTTCACTTTGACCAGTGAGGATAGTTCTCTAAGCAGCGGCAAGGTACAGTTCGATATGCCTAGGTTTCGGATTCGATGAGGGACGTAGGTCTCAAACTTGGACCAGGCCTCCAAAGTCTGAGACATTGTCGGGAGCGGGGAATGAAGGATGAGCATATCGATATACGCTTCGTTGACGCTTTCTGGGGCGTCAGATGCACGAAGATGCTCTAGGGATGATTTGATAGAAGCGTGTACTTGTTCTGTCACCGAGGAATTAGGATCATAGGGCATATCATCGGGGTTCTGCCCATTAACGGATGTGAATTTGGTTTGGATCTAACTATGATCAGCCAGGTAAACAGCTAGGTATACTATAGACACTACGTCTGGCTTACATGGAGATCCTCTCGTCGGATCGCTCCGTCCCGAATAGCCCTGCGTATACCCTCGCCTACCAAGTCTTCCCGGTAATGCTTCGGCTGGGCCGCAGTGTCTATGGCACGGAAGCCAGCGTTAAGAGCCTGGTGCACTAAATCTGTTGTTCGATCTTTCTTCCATGCAGTGCCATAGATGAAGACTGGTAGAGTCGCAGGGGGTGCGTTCTGCACCGAACGTAGGAGGTGTCTATCCCAAGACATCTTGGGCATGGCAGAGCGAGCCATCCTTACAGCGAATCTCACCAGGAACCCGCAGAAGAATTATACGGTAGCGTATTGTTAGATCAAGAAGTATGGAATGAAGTAGTGATGTATGTCGAGGTGGAGAACATGTGTAGTAGCTAGCCCACTCGGGCACGGTTGGCCAATGACATGTTTGCAAGAAAGCCGGTGTTCTGACATCTCAAAAGATATGAGGGAAGACGTCACCTACAGGTCACCCCCTCCTATAACCTATCTTGACCACTGGTCTGGCCAACTTAACTAAAATCAATTTCACCTTCAAGCAAAGAGATCGCCATGGAACAGTACTTATCGCATTAGGAGTGCCAGCAGTGATGCTTTTCTTCATACTACGGTTAAGGAATATGGAAAATCCGCTCAACTAATTTGTGCATGGACGATTCTCTTTCAACGCATGGCAATAGCTTGTAGTGTACCATAGATCCTTCCTGCCTCGAGTGGAATCGATCCCGACCTGTTCGGTCAAATGGATGTTAGATGACTCAAGTCATGCATTTAACCGATAGAAACGAGGATCTTCCCAGCAGACTGTAGACGTTTCCCGAAATAGATAATCATGCGGAAACACATCAAGGTCACTGCCCAGTGCTCCAGTGTAACCCTATATCCGGGAGACACCAATCCCCAAAGTACAACGCCTTCGGTTATTTCAGAGCTATGAATAGCATCCGACTTGTGGGTATGGCATATGTCCATGTACTTGCAATATGCAGGGTAGATACAGGCAGCATATTTTTCTTGTCGTTAACTGGCTATGATACTGTGTTGTCAAAGTAATCGGTACCCTCCGATCAACTATATATAGCGGGGAGGCTGTGTAGGAACCCGGCAATTCCATACGTTGGAGAGCTTGTTCGGTAATGCTATTGCCTGATCTTATCTTGTCAGGATCAATTGAGTGCCAAGCGATGATCACAAAAAAATCTTTTTTTCTTCTTCTTTCAGTTTGTCAGTCTGACTTCCTAGTTTTCCGTGTTGTCCCAGGATATTCCTAGTAGATCCCAGTGCGGATGACGAGGCAATGGAGACTGTGAGTGACATCATCGGTAGAACGTCCTCTGGTGGTAAACGTCAAACCAAGGCATTCCACAACAGCTTCCTGAAGAAGTGTATCAACCCAAGTTAACGAAATTCTCGTCCCTAGCATACTACTAGTACACAGTACAAAAGGATCCACATTTACAAAGTGCAACCCAAAAATCCAGGGTCCAGTGTGGCGGTGAAAGTGCAGAAGAATAATAAATGACATTCCCCGCAGACGAGTCTGGTAGTGATGAACAAACCACTTCTTGGCAGCACCGAACCCATAACCTTCTTTCCTCTTTGTTCCAGGCAGCTTCGTTCCCTGTCGATATATTGGTGATACTCATACGTGGATCTGCGGGTTGTCCCAGATTTCCACGCCAGCCGTGCTTGGCATATGTCGCCCGAGGGAGGCTTAGAGTTTCAACAGCTCTCATTGAAAGCAGATCGCTAGAATCCTAAGCGATGAAACTGCCATGTATGGTGCATGCGGAGTACTTCCCGTCTGGGCAAGCTCTAGTTTCGGGCAATGACATCCTTAAATATAGAAGCCTCGTAACGCGAATGAACGGGTTATAAATATGCGTCCTCGTCCGCTTCGAATTGATCACAGCATCATCAGCTTCGACTTCCTCATTTGCATCGCGACCACAGAATCCATCTACATCCGGAACTGTTGACAGTCCTAAACATCTACTTCGTGTCATCGTTGAACGGATCCCATCATACATAATGCGTACCGCCCAATTGCTCGCTCTCTCCGGCCTCATGCTCATGAGCAACGTCGCCATGGGCGCCGAGCTGGAACACGACGACGTGCCCAATCGCTGCTGGGACGTCTGCGGCCCGGTGGTAGGAATTGCGCACAAATGCGACAACATGCACGACAGTGACCGCGCCGAGATGCAGTGTATCTGCGACTGGAAGCAGGCACCATCCCTGATTCCTCTCTGCGAGGCCTGTATCGCACAGTATCGCAGCGAACGCAATAACAGGGACCATGATGATGATGACGACGACGATGACCGCAACCCTCATCACAACGGTATGCAATCCTTCCCGCTCCCTCAAGGTTCATAGCTAACATCCGACGCTGTCCAGATGCTTATGACATCCTCACCTCCTGCTCCCTCTCAACAACCAGCTACAACCCAACCGCCGCAGCCTCCGCCGTTAGCTCCGCAAGTGCCAATGGCACCGGCACAACTCCAACGGCAACCTCATCGGGCATCGCCGACTCCACGAATGGTGGCACCTCGGGCAATTCCAACAGAAACTCGGCGAGTAGCACCAACTCCGCGGCGAGCGCCCAGAACACCGACAATGCGGCGTCTGCTTATTCGAGCCCCAAGGCTGCTTCCTTGGCTGCCGTTGTCGGACTAGGCTTTCTTGCCTGGCTGTGAACATCTCATGGCATGATGACATTACGAGATTGGATATGGCTGAGAAGGGGAGAGTGAGGGAACAATATGGGATGGTGATTCACTGCATCGAGTGAATATATGGATATGGGAGAATGAGATATATGATTACGTTTCATGCCAATCCTTTATATACCCGGCTGGTCATGAGTTATGTTTGCTCGATAATATGCCCTTCCTATTTAACTTATCTATGCGGTGTATATTGAATCACTCCTTTGATATGCATGACTTGTGATTGCCCAGCCCTTCAGTGTTTTTGGACTGATATTCCCATGTTATTATACTTTTCCGATAATATTTATTATGGGTAGTCAAATAGAAATTGCAGACATTCTAATACAGTTCTAGGTTGTGCGGAACTACCCTACCCAACCGATTGAAAACTTGTTCTGCAGTTAATTATGAGACTTTTGCCTGAGTGAGATAAGTGACTCAATTGAAGGAATCACACGAAGTTATATATCCAAATACAAAAGACAGCAATGCAAAGTTTAACTATTGTCCTTACCGAACCCTCAAAAGTCCAATTGCACGCACCAAAGAACCAGAAGATATAAATCACCACCAAAAGCTATCACAAACGTCTCCAATCATGAACCTTGAACCTACTACACTGAAACCCAAAACCCAAATCCAAACCCAAACCCAAAAAGACCATGTCAAAAA